TGGTTGAAACCCTAAAAAACTATTGGGACAATATTGGTGAATATAGACAATTACAGTTTTTTTAATGCCTGACACTCATAGAAGTTGTATCTTAGTTTTCAGTAATATTTTATGAATAAGAAACCCATAGATTGAAAAAAATCAAAGAATAATTTTTAAACTTAAATGCTATTCACTTCATAAAAAAGATCTTGACAGATACTATTAACAGGTATCCTAGTATTTCTACATACTTGGTGGATTTGATAATGTCAACCTGAAGCAAGCATTTCTCAACTCTGTTCTAAAAGAACTTGCCCAACAGACAAAAACTTAGCTCAACCTCAAGTCCCTTAATGTTAGAACCATGAACTTTGGTGATATTTACAAAATAATGATGAAATCACTGGATAAGATTTATAAAGAGCACAAATATATTGCAAACTTGGTAAACAATTCCAGAAAAATGGAAAGACCATGTTTTTATTCCTCTACAGGATTACAGATCACATGTTTTTCTAAGGATTTCACATGTCTTTGCAACTAAAAGAAAAAAAATACCTCAAAAAATTTAAATCTCCTAAAAGCTCCCACTTTTTCAAACATAGAAAACTGTTTAGACCAACAAAAAAGCCTAAGAGATTTCAAAAATTCAAGTTTGACATAAAGAAAAAAGTCTCAAAGCAAAAAGGAACAAGATGTTTTCTTTGTGGAAAACTAAGACACTATGTAAAGACCTACCCCAAGTCAAACAAGAAGTCAGTAAAGATGATATAGGATATTGCTAATATCTCTAGCATTAATCTTTCAAATGAAGACCTTGAATCAGTATTCTCTTTTGATGATAAACAAAATGAAAGATCATTGTTTATGATCAAATAGTTTGATGATGATAGCTCAAAGTCAGATATAAATGACTATTCAGATGATCATTATCTTGAGTACATAACAATCTAAAAACTTTAAAAAATTCAAACCCTTTAACCTCCAAAGATGCCTTTAGCCACAGTATAGATTGTCACCCATAAACACTCTTTTCTTATAACAGTTACAGTTTTTTTTTTCATACAAGTGCTACTCAAACCATAGCTAATCCCATTGTATTACCCAAAACACTTTGAAAAAAACAAAAAACCTTTTTTAAAATAGCTAATGAGAATGCATTCTCTACAAATTTATCAATAACCACTGTTAGCCTCTAAATATTCTTAGGTTACAAATAACCCAAAGAATTTTAGGATCTCCACTTCCATAGAAAGACCTCGTTATTGGTTTTGATATCATTACCAGTATACCAAGTTTAAGACTTAGTGGAAAGGTATCAAATTTGAAAGTTATTTCAAACCTCTAAAAAACCTTTCAAACCTCTTCACCTTAACCATTTAGACAAATTTGTCCCAAAAATTCAAAGAAAAGCTACTATACTAAGGTCTTACTGAAATAGGATATTATAGTAAAATGTATGTCTCCATAAAGGTCAAGCTACTAGTTCGACGTTATACAAAGAGGGTGCTAAGTCTTGAACACTGGCTAGAATACTTTTGTTATATATCTAACCATAGACTGCTTATGTTTGGTATTTCTTTAATGTGGCAATCGATCCCTCCGTTAAAATGGTATTAGAGTGGAACTCTATATAAAATTCTTTTTTTTTTTTTATTTTTAACACTGATTGGGATAGGAAAAGCCAAAAGAATTTTCTTTTTCATGGATTTACTAGATAGTAGTAGTTCATAACTTTCCACTTCTAGATCTTTCTTTAGTTTATCTTTTCCTTTTTTTTTTTTTCTGTGATTAAAAAATCTTCTTTCTCTATATTAAATTTTCTTTATGAAATGGATTATATCTCAGAATAGACAAAATCCCAACAAACAATCCTTCATATTATAAATCCCTCTATTGCTTTTTTCAATACCTACACTTCTTTTCCTAAATCCATAAAAATACTTTTAAAACCAAAATACCAAGCTCTAAAAAAGTATATTCAAGCCACAAAGTTTAATCAATACATTCTCTTAGCAGGATCTCAATAGTATTTTGTTATTGAATTTTATTAAAAATAAAATTTTTATAATAAAATATATTAAAGAGTAAAAAAATAAAATATTAAAAAATAAAAAAATAACTTGAAAAAAACAAAAAGAAATGGTCCAGCCATTAAAAAGCAATTGGCCTCATTAAATAAAATAAAATTGCATTTATAGTAAAATATATAAAAATTTTAAAATAGAAAATATAAAAAGATGGTACCGCCCAAAAAAAAATATGGCCTCACTTAAAAATTAATTTTATAATAAAATATATAAAGAAAATTTAGAAAGACATAAAAATAAAATATTTTAAAAAATAAAAAATAACTGCAAAAAGCAAAAACAAAAACAATGAGGTCCATAAAAAATAGTGGGTCCTACTATAAAAATTAATTCTAAAGTAAAATATATAAAAAAAATTTAAAAAACAAGAAAGTAAAAAAACGGAGACATGCCGTCCAAAGAAAAAAAATAGAAATATAAGAACTGACACGTGGCGAACATTTGCAGCATTCCATATCCTCCCTTGCATTAAAAGGATCCTCATGGGATTAATGGATGACTTGTGTACTATTATTTTGGGTGGGTTATGAGTTTTGTGGAGCAAAAGTGATTGAATTTGAGTTTTGAATTTTGAGTTTGTTGAGTTTTGCAAGGTAAGGCATGGGTCAGGTTATTTTATTTGGTTAATGTAAGATATCTCGGAGATTTTAATTTTCATTTGCGAGAATTTGAAAGGGAGGATTGACACCTGTTAGACATGTATTTTTTCTTTTGTGGAGTATACACTTACCTTCATGCATTTTTTCCTTTGACATGTGGTAAAAGATTTCATTTTGCTTCCAAATAAACGAAAAAAAGAAAGAGAGAAATAAGTTAAGGGTCGACGATAGAGTCGGAAAGAAAAAAAGAGAGACATAAATGAGAGAAGGGAAATGAAATAGAAATTGGAAAGCCGAGGTGTCGATGGAAGGCTACTGGGAGAGGAGGTGGCTCGACAAAACCACAAGCTACGCTGGGCATCCTACCAACGATACCAGCAGCAGTGGATGATTCCTCAGTTATTCTGAGTACTCTTCCATTCTTTGATTTGTCTCCTTCCTTATTCTCCACACTTTGCCTAACATTTTTTTCTCTCTCTCACTATGTATTTCTTAGTAATAAATAAGTGGATGGATGCATGCATAATCTATACCTTATACATTAAAAAATCCCAAAAGGGTTTGTGCAATTGACGTGCAATTAATGGGATTCTGGACCCTTAACTTTTGCTGTTAATGGTGTCTTTAAAGTTAGTGCTTTACTTTTGCAAAAATTTTTTAAAGGTTTTTCAATTCGTCTTTCTCAATCAATTTTGTTTTTTATTTTTTTATTTTTTTGTAACGATATTAAACTTGGGTTTTTCTTTAATAAAATTTTAGAAAGATTGGCATATGTCAAAGAAATGGGAGGTAAGTATCCATATGTTATTCCTTGATTGGGTTCATCCTTAGTAAAGTCAAGTGAACACAGTTAGATATAGCTTTTAAGAAAATTCAATTTTTTTCTTCTTTGATATTTGTTTGTTTTGTTTATAACATTGTGGTAACTTATCAGGCTCAAATCTTGATGAAAAAATCTCACTAGCTGTTGGAAATGAAAATCTCATGGATCTCCACATTGTACCATCAACGTCTTAATTTAATGTTTGAGTTAGTTTAGTTTGCATGAATACTTATATTTTATAAAAAGTGTTTGTTATTTTGTAGATTTTCATCTGAGAATGTGTCTTACCAAAACAATGTCAAATCATCTCTGCAGAGAAAAATTCAGCAAAGCATTGCAAAAGGGGGTATAAAACTACATTGTGACTATTTTGGTTTCAAAAATTGTCATAATAGTTGAATTCTAAAGTTACTTTACTTAATTATGTTTTTGTTTTGTTTAATGCATCGATGAATTTATGTTTTACACAGGATTAGTGATTTGCTACCCAAGAAGGCCCCATTAATTGTTGTGAAATGGTTTGTATCTATTTTACTATTGTTTCTACAAGTTGCATACCTGAGACAGGCTATATAACACGTGTTTAGAGAAACAAGCTAGTATTAGAACTATGGAGTTCTATTTGTACACTTAGTGTATTTGTTGGGTTTTAGACCTTGTTTTTGTTCTAAACATTAGATTTCTTTTAGGTTTATGGTCTTAGATTTTAAAAATATTTTTCATATATGTTTTTCTTATTGATAGACTGTCATATACTGTCATTGTTGAGATTGTCGTGAAGGTGATTGTAATATATTTATGATCTATTTTATAAACAATGGTCAATGGGTTCTATTTTGTTATTATTATTATTATTATTTTAAATAGTTAGTTTTCTTATTATTCAATGTGTACTGCATAAGGTTGTTGTAAGCTTTAATTGATTTTTTTTTCCCAAAATAATTTAGATAAAGAATAATATACCTGTTGGGTTCGTCCTATTATTTGTCGAAAATGATTTAATCATATATTTAGGGCCAATCTCTTCACTTTGAATGCTTTTCATTTCTGATGAAAAGTAGATTTTTTTTTTTCTTAACGATATGCTAATAGACTAAGTCTGGTTGCAATTGAGTCGGTGACTGAGCCTGTTGCATCAGGTGTGACTTTAGAAACTCTTTAAAATTTATGTTTTTACGCTATACGTTATATAAAGTATAACAAACCAGTTGGATTGTTTGCTTGCAAAATCGACAGACGAACAAATTGATCATTGAAATTCAGTGGTTAGAATATGAGCGAAAGATAGATTTAACATTATTGAATATGTAATACTACAATGTTTGACATTAGTGAATGTGCACTGCTATAATGTTTAGTTGACATTAAAGTTGCTCTTGCATCTCATTAATAAATTATAACAAAAAAAAAAGGACTTTCACTTAAACTAGAGGGTTACCCGCGCTTTGCTTTTTTTGCACTGGAGTAACATATTACTGTAAGAATAATATATAATTGTTAACATGGGAAGTAAAATAAATATAGACCGTGCAAGGATTAAGGTTTGTTGTTTTTCAATTAAGAGTTTTAGAATCAGTGATTATAAAAATAAAAAAATATATAGAACAACACTCATCCCCAAGTGTGAGTAACATAGCATCAAGTAGCAAAATGAAAAATGTAGATATTTTTTTCTCCACATTCAAAGAAGTAAAATGAATATATATTTGGGAAGTTTTAGGACAACACACCTCAATTCGGATACCACATCTTAAAAGGACAATGTTAGATGTTCTTCCCTTCTGCTAACCTTTTTGCACTCAAAGGGTGAGAAACCAAAATCTTCAATATCTCCCTAGATAACTTATTAACAACTACAGCTGTGTGTCTTGCTTCATCAGTATCATCTAAAGGCTTGGCTTCCAGAAGTAAGCGGTTGTCCTTCAATGGGTCGGTTCCTGATATATTTCCACTTAGTCTTGGTCCTTTAACAACAATTCCACATTGGTGTTCTGTTGCATGCCTGTAAGTGATTGAGTACATGGCTTAGTATTACATATTGAACAATAGGGCTTAAAGCTTCCAATCAATTCTTAACAGAGTTCACAAAGAACAAAACCTTCTCATGACCATCTAGCCAACAACTATAAGCATTTGTGCCTAAGACATTTCAAGGTTCAAAACTGTCAATCAAAGTAAAGTCCATAACCAAAATGGCTATGTGAAAATAAAACCTAGTTGAGTAAGCTAAACTTTTTTTTATCCTGCAGAACCAAAGTGGAAGAATATAACTTCATAAATTGACAATTACAGCAATTAAAAACATCTCTACTTAACTCTTTACTTCACACTCAAGAAAAGAATGGAGCTTCATTCTATCCAGGGCAGCACAAAGTATAGGCCCGTCTTTTTCAAAATGCCTGTCAGCTTTCCTACTTGTAATTATGCCAGTTTTCTCATCTGAGGTAGCAAAATTTGACTGGAAAGAGATTATTGGAATGGGTAATCATGTACAAAAACAAAATCATCAAGGTGTTCTGAAGAAAATATTCGGAACGATGGCATATTAACTTGTTGGAAAAAAGAATAAGTATCATCTTTAAGATGATCGTCCCCGTCATGTAAGTGATAAAGTCAGAAGCTAGATCATATCTGGTAAGGAGAAAGGAACTGTAAGTTTAATCATATAGAACCATCTCAGGCAACAATTATTAAGCAATATTTTATATTAAATCTGAAAAAAAATATACAGCTTATGACAAAAATTTTCTTCATTCATATCAAAACTAATGTCCACATTACGCTTTAAGCTAATATATTGAAATTCTTGAATCATAAATTAATTATTTGTGTTTGGATAGTATCAAGGCAGGCTTAATAAATGGTCCAATTACAGAAATAGTACCAGCAAATAATGTATTAAGAGGTGTAGGTGAAGAAAAAAGGAGAGCTAAACCAGGTTACACACCTTGAATGCAATATCTCCAGGTGACATTGCCAACCCAGCCCCCATGGACTTAAATGCACCTCGCCCTCGGTAATATACTCTCGGGTCATAGCCGCGAAAGATGTGCCGTGTCACTCCCACAACCCAAACCTACTGCCATAGGGTCCAGAGGCCATTAACTCTCGCTGATGCTATCGCATCCAAGTTTGGAACATCGGCAGCCTGCAAAGACATCTTATTCCCAAACGTTAGTATGAAGGTAATATGGTTCATCATGGCCATGCGCATGGCCTCCCCCCATCCTCTTCACTCCATTGGAATGAAACCCTCTATTGGCTGACTTGGAGAGAAACGATTGAGATGACGAAGTCAGAAGCATAGAAGCCGATCTCGGCCCACCGTTCAACGCCATGGCTTTCTTTTTTCTTTAACAAAGAACTCAACGGCTGTTTTTCTTGAACAATTAAAAAAATGTACACAGTGAATTCATAAAATTAAAGCCGAACTATAAGATGGGGATATCTCCCATTATAAGATAAGATCAAGAGGAATCAGAAAAAAGCTAAAGAAGACATGCAAAAAAAAAAAAAAAACGACCCATTAAAAAGTGAATTAAAACAAAACCCAATAAGAAGAAAAATATATATATATATATATAAAGAGTGAGAATTTATTATTAACTGAATAAAATAAACTTCAAAAGTGATTAAGGAAGAAAAACTTTCTTGAGCTGAATATCATTGGGTATATCAATGAAAACCCCAATATATATATATATATATATATATATATAAAGAGTGAGAATTTATTATTAACTGAATAAAATAAACTTCAAAAGTGATTAAGGAAGAAAAACTTTCTTGAGCTGAATATCATTGGGTATATCAATGAAAACCCCAATATATATATATAAAGAGTGAGAATTTATTATTAACTGAATAAAATAAACTTCAAAAGTGATTAAGGAAGAAAAACTTTCTTGAGCTGAATATCATTGGGTATATCAATGAAAACCCCAACATCACAAAATCAAGAAAATCAAGAATTGATCAACAGTCACGATAAAAAAAAGTTTAGGGAAAACATGCCGTACATGCAGAATTTAGTTGCCGCTGGTGGAAGAGCAAGGAGTAAGCACCGGTGATCGATAGCCCGAAGAGAAAGGGGGTGAGAGATAGCAAAACGGGAGATGGCAGAGGAGGGGAATCGGGAGAGAGAATCTTAGGGATAGATTGAACATTGACCTATTTCAACAGAAGCTTATCGAGAAGCTTTAGTTTTTTCTTTCCAAATTTATCCTCCAAGTTATTTTTATTACATTGATTGGGCGTGCAGAAAATGAAAATAAGGGGGTAGCATTTAATGTATGTATACACATTAAAATGCAAACAACTATGAAGGTAAGGTCAATTATCCCATTTTATTTATAAAATTTCTCTTTTTTTTATATGACTCTTATTCTTAGTAAAAGCCATATTTTACTTTTAAGTTTTAACATTAGGTATTGTATATTGATTTCTTGAAAAAAAAAAAATGTATGTATTAAGCATTTTTTTTCTTTTTTTTTTTTTTGTTTATGTGGATACAAAAAAGATTTAAATTTTTTTTTTAATTTTTGCCCCGGCAATTGGAGCTTTGCTCTTTAACACTTTTTTGTTGTTGAACCAAATTTCTTTTTTTTTTTTTCAAAGATATGATATTTGAGGTGAGATTATTATCATCAATAGATTGTAAAATTCTAACTCTTAAAGAATTATTATTTAAGCAATATACCAATATAAATTTCTTATTCTTCACTATAAAATATCTAATGTATTCAAGTATCCATGTATATATTTAATTACAACTTTTTAAAAATATATGTGCTAAAGAGTCTTCTAATGCACTTAATAATTGTACTTAAGAATTCTTGATAATATGTTTTATTTTTAATATATTTCTCACTTATGTGTTTATCTATCTCAATTTAATTATTTGATTAATTAATGTATGAATGTATTGTGTAAGAGAAATATAATCCTCAATACTCCAAAACCACTAATAGAATAATACATATATATTATTAATCTTAACCCAAATACATATATTATTATTAATCTTAACGTGTATTTATTATTAATCTTAACCCGAAGTACGGGTAACATATTAATATTTATTAGATATAGCCCATGATTTTTGGAATTTGTGAAAGAAAATAATTTCTATATTTTTATTTTTTTAATTTTTTATTCACTCTATTAAAACCGAAGAGCATTTCGAATTTTTCCAAATCAAATAAAGAACAGTTGACTTAAATACAATAAATGTAAACATTTTTTTTATGTAAATTTAAGACTTAAATCTAAGTAAATGTAGCACATGACTTCGGAACTTGTCATAGCTCCATCCATCTATAATGGCAAGGAAACTAACTAGTAGAATAGTTGACAATACTTTTTGTTGGGATTTTTTATTTTCAATTTACAAAGGGTTCAATTTTCAAGATAATCTATTTAAGTATTAAGAATTTTAAGTTTTGTATTGTCGTTTTGAGGATTAAAAATGATTATTTGTAAGCCACTAGGTGATTATTTGTAGGCTACAAGGTCTATCACAAAATTTTAATTTGGTGCATAATTAGTAATTACATCATTATTAAACTCAATCGGACCTACGCGGTCAAACTGAACAATTTGATAAGCTGGCCCTTAATTCGAGTTGTTTCCATATTTGAACTATTTATGCAATTAATTAGGAAAAAGTTGAATTGATTTATCAAGTTTATGAAAAAAACGTAGATTGTTGAGTTTCTTTATCATTCCGAGTCAAACCAATATGATTTTTTATATACTAATTATTGATTCATTCATTCTTTTCACTAAAAGAAATTTTTTTTTTCAAAGGAAGTTAAAAATTAAAAAAAAAAACACATTTTAAAAAACTAAACATTAAAAAAACTTTATAAGTTTAGTTTTGTTTGTAAATTTTTTAAGTAATAAATAAATATTTTTAATTCTTATATCATAATATGCACATAGAAAAATATTTATATATTATAATTTTTTATATTATTTTAAAATATTTCTATTAATACAAATTGATTTGAATGATACAATGATTGAGTCATTTGACTCGACATTCAATGTCTGTCATGACATACAAGTATGTGAACCCAGCCACTAAATGTGGGAAATCAATTAAAAAGCATTTTTATCAAGAAAACATCAAAATTAAGGAGTCATTATTAATTTTTTTTATAATGTGATTAGTCACAAAAAAATTTAATATTTTAATAAAATATTAAAAATAAGTTTAAAATTTATTAAAAAAATATTTTGATATTTGAAAATAAAATTGGAATTTGGAAGTTTGATTACACATGAAAAAAAATTAGTACCTCACAGCGCATGTTAGAAAAAATGGTATCAATTAATTATATATTATTCTTAAGTTTTTGTAAAAATAGTTTTAACTTTAATGTTTGTAAATTAATTCTTTAAATTTTTTCTATTCCTTTCAAAATTATTTCTTGAAAATAAATCACTTTGAATTTCATGTTTTACAAACAAATCATTGTATTGTTTTGAAATCTTGAAAAATAAAATCGATTATTTGGAACAAGATGAAAAAAATCCTAAGTATCAAAATACCTCCTTCATTCTCCTATATTTAGGTAAAATTTAAAAAAATGTCCTTAATTTTAGGAGTTTACAAGATGCCCTACAAAATTAAGATAATATTTTGTATAGATGATAACCATTGATAATCATTGATAATTCTCTTATATTTAGGTCAAATCTCAAGGGTTGTTTTTACTTAAAATATTACCTTATTACTATTTTTAAAACATGTTCTTAAAATACTTTAGTCATAAACCATATAAATTATATGTATGAACATAATAATACATAGTATATGTATGACAATTAAAATGTGATGATAAATAAAAGTGCATGGATGACAATTCAAGAATGTTAATACATATAACAATCTATTAAAATGAATGCAAATGTATGAGAATGGGTCTAGGGTTGGCTTTTAGGGTTTAGGGTTTACGATTTAAGACTTGAGGTTTAGTTTGGGATTTAGGGTTTGTCATAATGAATTTGGGGCCGCTAGACGTAAAGATTTAAAAATTGAGAAAACAAAAGAAAGTTACCACCAATAGTTTTTAGGATATGATTAGTCATCTAAAAGTTTATCTTTTTAATAAAATTATAAAAATAGGTTTAGAGTTTCTTAAAAAGACAATTGTCGGTTCATAAAAAACAAGATTGGATTTGAAAGTCGGTACGTGTGAGAAAATATTAGGACCCCTACAGCACTCATAAATTGTATCAATTAATCATGTATTATTTTTTATGTTGGGTAAAATGATTTCGATTTAAAATTTAATAATAATTCCCTTCATTTTTTTTTTGAAAAATAAGGTAATTCTTTAAGTTAAAGAATTATTTTAAAATTCTTCAACATCCAGGTAGAATTTAAAATAATTGTTTTTCCTTAAAATTTATCACAACATTCCTTAAAATGAAAATAACACTTTTTGTAAAAGATGATTGTTGGTGACTCTCCAACATCTAGGCAAAATACTAAGAATTATTCCTTTTGAAATGTTATTTTTATTTTATTTTATTTTAAAATTTCACATTTTTAAACTATATTTAAAAAAATCTTTTTTGTGCAAAAAAACTAATGAAGGTATAGTTAGTTAGCAAACGATAATTAAAGGTGTGAACATGTGAAACAAGTACAAATAATAATGAATAGAAGCATGTAAGCCAAAGGATGTTATGCAAGGTGATGAATGCAAATTTGAAATCGGGTTCTTAAATATAATGACATCACTTTGACTTCCCAACATCTAAGTAGAGTTTAGGTGCGACTATTTATATTTAAGATCTCATTTTTTTCTTAAACACATTATTACTGCTAGTTAAAGACTCATATGAAAAACTTAATAAAATAAAACCTCCTAAATGTCTCATATTCTAGGCAATATTTAGGAACAAATTACTCCATTTGAGATTTTTATACATATCCTTAGAGTTTCATAATGGTTTTAAGTATGGGTTTAAGGTGGAGCCTAAAGGTTTGGTGATGATTTGAAGTTGTGTGTTGATTTTAGGGTTTAGGTTAGTTTAGGGTTTTGATGAATTTTTTATTTAGGGTCTTATTTTAGGGTTTCAAGATTTTAAGGTTTTGGATTTTTGGGTTTGAGATTTAAGGTTTTAGGGTTTTAAGGGTTTAGGGTTTTGAGTTTTGGGGTTTTAAAGGTTTGAAAATTTTTAGGATTACGATTTTAGGGTTTAGAAGTTTAAGGTTTCAATTTCAAGGTTTAGGGTTTCAAGGTTTTAGGTTCTAAGATTTTGAAATTTAGGGTTTAGGATTTCAATTTTTCGAATTTAAGGTTTCAAAGGTTTTGGGTTTTGAAATTTGGATTTTAAGGTTTTTCATTTTTTTGATTTTAGGATTTTGAAACTTAGAGTTTAAGGGTTTAAGATTTAAAGGGTTTTTAGATTTTGGGGGTTTAGAGGGTTTATGTTTAAAAAGAAACGTGAACATCTTTAAAAGTTCTTAACATATAAGCAGATTTTCGAAGCAAGTT